TATATATCTTTAGACCCATGCACACTATTCTCTCTGCCTAGGACACACTGTCATTTTTCTTTCAATGCTCCTTTTCCTTTTGACCTCTAGCTGAGTCTTCAAGGTGAGTATGTTCCAGGAAGCCTTCCCTCACCTACCCTCCACATTCCTACATTCAGGCTGATTATATCCTTCCTTTAATCTCCCTTGCTTACTCCAGTCCCAGAACTAATTACCTTTCCTCTCCTGCTGGCTTCTGAACTTTTCAAAGACAAAGCCTGGGCCACCATGAGGCATACCCCAGTAGGTCCTCAAGCATCGTGGTTCCTGGAGCAGATTGATTTGGGCAAACATTTGTTGAGGAAAAGTATAGATGAATCCCACCCACTTCTTGCCTATCATTCCTAAGAAAAAGATCCCTAGGGAATTCCCTCCCTGGCCAGTGACTAAGAACACCAACTTCTGAAGAAGAGGGGGTAAGGACAGCTCTGAGGTCAGAACAAGTTCTGAGCTCCATACAAAGATTAGCCCTGCATCCACCTTGATGCCCCACACCCCGTCTCTGAAAGAATGATCCGAAAGACTTCATGGCTGTTTCTATGTCAGTTCTGCAGGCCTCACTATGGTGGCTGTGTCCTGGTGGGCCAGGATCCTGTTCCAGCCCCTAGATATTGGGTCAAGGAGTGACAGGTTCCTGTGCATTCTTCCCAAGGAATAGGAAGGATGGGGTAGGGGTGTGAAGCTGAGACTGTGTTCCATTAGAGGCCCTGTCTGCTAGGGCAAGGGTCTGGCCCAGACCCTTTGCTCCCCAATATTTGTGGTAAGAAGGTAGAATCTGGGAAAAGAGCAGTTTTTTAAAATTTGTTTTATTGAGATATAATTCACGCGCTAGACAGTTCACCTATTTAACATGCCTAATTCAAAGGCTGTGAGTATATCCACAGAATTTTGCCTCCATTGACACAATTTTAGAATATTTCTATCACTCCCCCCAAAAAATACTATAACCACTTAGCAAACACCCCTCAACTTCCTCATGCTCCCCCCATCCCTAAGCCACCACTCATCTACCTTCTGCCTGTGCACACTTGTCTGTTCTGGCCATTTCACATGTATGGAATCATACCATGTAGTTCTTTCTGACCAGCTCTTTTCATTTAACCTAATATTTTTGAGGTTCATAAAAGAGTATATTTGGCCACTAAGAAGTGACAGAGAGGACCCAGCTGCCTGGAATAACAGAAAAGCTCCACATAACGAGTCCCGCAGCCAGTCCTAGCTCCGCTGTATGGTTTGTCATTTAACCAGGCATACCACAGCCCTAACTGTACCTTCTACAGCTAAATGCATGGCATGGATGCAGATCGAGCAAAGACATTAGGAAGAATTTCCTGTTGTTGGATAATCACCTCTTCCAGGGTTTGAGACAATAAGAAGGAATGTTCCTTGACCTAAGGTGTTGTGTCAGGGCACTTAGTATTCGTAGGCTTAAGGCCAGGCCAAGTATGCCAAAAGTCCAAATACTGGAGGGATAACTTTGTGATCTCCTCACCAGGGAAAAGGAAGGATGCTTGCACTGACAGCATGGCTACAGAAACAGAGAACCCCCTGGTGTAAAGCATGTTATGAAGGGCAACATACGCCGGTGTTTGGATCATAATAAGACGCCCTGCCCAGCCACATGATACTCTGGGAAATGCTGGTGACTAGAAACCTCCAGAGTCCTCAGACCTCCCACAAGTCTCCTGTCCTACCTCTAGAGAACAGCCAAGAAAGCTATCACTCTGGCCCAAACGTCTACCTTCCTCCCATCTTTTCTACACATCCTGACTCTTCTCTAAGCAAGGTGGACAAAAAGGATGCTCCCCCAAGAACACTGGAAGTTCTCCAGGACTCACAAGGACTTTCATTATCCATAGCATATACTATTCCGAAAACTTTACATAAGGTATTGCCCAAATCTCACCAAAGAACTGCTCCTCCCAGGTCAGGTCCTTGGCTCTAAGAAACATCAGAGAATTAACAGGAAACCTCTGTCACCCACAGCCTGCTCCAGCCCTAGCCTCTGGAATCTGGGATTCTGATGTCTAAGATGTTATAAGACAAGGACTAAAATAGAGGAAGATGGAGAATAGGGATTTCTCTTTCTGACCTGAAGGACTTTCAAATCCACTGAGTTCATGGCCTCTTAAAGGTATATTGCAGTCATATATGACCAAGCATAGTTGACATGCTAAGGTTGGGATGGAAGTCATTTTCTGATACCTAATAGCACCGTACTGGCACCCTACTAATAGATATCTTCATTTCCTTTGCCTATCATGCATCCTACATGATCTGGGGGTGGTGTTTGAGGTTCTTTCCTTAAATTATAGCACAGTAACCAGAAAAAAAGAGAGAGTGAATTTGGCCCAACGAACAGGAAATTCTTGCACAATTGCAAGAAAAGCAGCTAAGTGCAGGATAAGATTTTATTCCTGAAATTTGGAGCGTGAAGAGCCATGAAAAACTACATGGAAGGAAAATTATGGAGGGAAGGTGCTGAGACATTTTAGAATCTGCCACATTCCTTTGAGATGCAAATGTAAAAGATCCGCTTAAGTTCAAGGGGAGAGACAAAGTCCTTATCATTCAATTGAAGAATTGTCGAGGTTGCTTTGACATATTTTCCATAGAAGATGTTGTGATGGCCATCTTTGGAAAATATATCCTGTTACCGAGTGATGCGATCTAGAAAACTTCTGGGCTATTTATTGCCACTGGGAGAAACAGAAAACCCGATGAGTTAAATTTACCCTCAGGAAGCAGTAACTACAAAGGTTCATGCTTACTCCCACCAAACGTGATTAAAAAAGAAGAAAGAGGCATTGAAGGAACAGGGTTGGGTTTTGAATATGTGTCCTGGGAGGCTTCAGTCTCTCCACCCAGAAAGCCAATCCTGCTCTGGAACCTTCCCTCTCCTCCCCAGTGCCAGGGCAGTCACTTCACCTGGGACAAATAATGGGCACAATCTGCTGGCTTGTGGATTCACATCATCGCTCCTCCTCTCCACTTCTCCTAGATTCCCCTTCCTGGCTCTGCTTAGAGGTCCCCTGGCTTTACAGAATTCTCTTCTCTTTCCTGCACCCACTTTCTGTTACCTCCTCCACAACATCTGGCAACAGAGTACACATGCCCACTTAACCTGGCAGCTTGTGCTGCCCCCACTTCCCCCCTATAGGCATTCCTCATGCCTGGTCACCAAATCATGCAAAACCAGCCCAAGAAAAAGAAAGCCCAAGGTCTAGCAATGAACCATGGTGGTTCTGGGCCAATAAAAGCATACACCATTCCCCACTTTTCCTCCCTTCATCCTCTCAGCCTCTCCTCAGACCAGAGCATTTCTGAATGGGGTGAGGCCTACAAATCTCCTCTTGATGAGATGACTCAGCGACCTTGTACAGACAAGGTCTGTGAGTTGTAGTGAGTTGTACCAAGATCTCTTTGAACAGGCCCATGTTGCTTAAGTAAACTACTGTTCCCATCCCTAGTGACTCACTTGTCTACTAGTAGACTATTATCCTTCCCTTGGAAAACACAACATGCTTCTGTGACACCAGTCTTGATTCTAAGAAGCATTGAAAAAGATGCTTTAAAAGTTAGACCATCCAAGATAAGGGCTAAGGGCTCAGCATATGCTGGGTATGCTTTGAGGCACTGGGAAATCAGTTGTGAATGAAGCAAAGCCTTTACCTTCATGAAGTTTGTGTTCAAGGTCATATGAATAAATGGATAAATATGTCACTGATGGTTTCTATTTTAAAAGATAAGGAAGTTAGGCCTTGTGGCACAGCTACTTGGGAGGCTGAGGTGGAAGGATGGTAATTCAAGGCCTGCCTGGGCTACAGAGTAAGTTCAAGACTAGCCTGGGCAAATTAGTGAGGAAACCTATCTCAAAACAAAAAGTCAAAAGAGGCTCTGGGGAACATAACTCAGTGGTAGAGTGCTTCCTGAGATGATGAGGCTCTGGGTTCAATCCCTACTACCACAAAATAAGGAACAAAGGAGGGAGGGAAAGGAAAAAGGGAGGGGAAGGGAGGGGGAGGGAGGGAGGGAATGATGTGTTGGCGAAGACTCCATCTCAGATGTCACTTCTGAAGAGGTGACATTTGAACAGAGGCCCAGGAAAATGAAGAGTGAGCCATTCAATGTCTAAGAGTGTTCCAGACAGAAAGCAAAAACTGTGAAGCCCGAGTGAGAGAACAGTTTGAGTCACCAGAGACCAGGAAGCTAGTTCCAAACAAGGGGGGAAGAAGGTAAAGGGATGGTCCAGAGACACAGCCTGAGGCCACACCAAATGGGACCTCATGGTCTTCAGAGTTTCCCTTCCTTGGAGTTTGGGTGGCAAAGAGGGCCCAATTAGTCAAGGTGTCCACCTCCACTTGGAGTGACCTTTATATCCTGTTTCAGTATGCACATGGTTAACCAGAACCCTCTCCAGGCTGTTTTCATTTAACTTTGTTTTCATTTTCTTTTCCTTTAGTAACAGTCTTTGTGCCTAATCTTCTGCACAAAAGGTAACATAAAAGCTGTTGGGACCAAGCGGTCAAGCAACAGACTATTAGAATGAGCTGTGCATGGTGGCTTGTACCTGTAATCTCAGCACTCAAGAGGATGAAGCAAGAGAATTGTGAGTCTGAGGCCAACCTAGGCTACATATGAGTGCCAAACCAGCCTAGGCTATAGACTGAGACCCTGTATCACAAAAAATAACATGAAAGAATGGGGAAAGGAACAGCAAAGGAATCAGTTTGGAGAGAATTTTATTTTTATTACTGGAAATATGAACATTCCGTGCTTTAAAGAAGAAGAGGAGAAAGGGGAAGAAGAAAGTGCCACAATTATCAACAGCACCTCCAGCAAATCTTCCTTCCATGTTTATGAAGGCGTGCCTGTTCTAGTCATCAGCTCGTGGTTGCTTGATGATCTCTTGCAGAAACAACTTCTCCTTTCCAGATTTGACTTACTGGTTCCCTACATCTGTTCTACATGTAGTGTGAAAAAAAAAAAAAAAACAGTCTGTAAAATTCCAAAATACAGCCACTCCAGGTCAGGGAAAGTTTTAGTGGCTGTCTCCCCTTAGGCTATGTGTTGGTGATAGCTGATCACTGGGAAAGGAAAGCTGAGAACAAGGTTGGGTAGTGGAGATGCTCCACTGAATAGCTAGCCTGGATCCCATTTCAGAGCCAAATTTTCAGAGACACAAAAACCCTTGAATACCCAGAAGAGAATGACCAGAATGGGGGAAAGTCTAGAAGCACTTGTCATATAAGGAATGATTGAAGAAGCTGGTAATATTAGCCTGGAACAACAACAAAATAAAAACCTCAGGTGCATATGAATCTGCAAATATTTGAAGGGCTATACCATAAGCCCAGACTCCATAACTGGGGACAATGCAACATGTCACCGAGAGGCAGATATTGACTCATATGAATAACAGGATATTACAACTGGAAGTAAACTCTGTGGTTACTCAGTTCAGCTTTTTTCATTTCTTGGGTTGGAAAGCTGAAACCAAAGAGATTATCACTCCCTAAAATGACATAATTAGTCAATGTAAAGTCAGAATTATCTCTAGGTTTACTAAATCAATCTGGCCTTTGGTGCTACATTACATTACCAGGCAAGAACTTCAGAACAGATGAAGAAATCCAAATATGAAATGAGCTATTTCAATAAATGTGAGTAAGCAGAAACTGTCTCAGACCAAGATCATAAACTAGAGATTGTTCATGTTAGGTAGGAAGTTGCATTAAAAGTGACATAGTACATATACACAAACTTCTGTCTTTTGGGGCCATGTCAGACCTTGCTAATAAATACTGACATACTTTTCTCAGAGTCCAGATCCAAATGTTCACATTATCCCAACCAATAAAAGTTGATATCCAGGATGAAAACTATTTGGTAATCCTATCCCAAGCAAGCTACAAGATCCTTTGTTACAAATTAGGAAAATAATGAATGAATAAACTGAGGTAAAAGAAGCTTGTGAAAATGTTCTGCTAGGGAGTCAGAAAACAGCCATGCTTCTGTTAAAGAAGACTTATCTGGCTTTTTCTTTCCTGCCATTTTTCTCAGTATGTTGCTTGCGGGAGTATCAGCACTGTAAAGAAGGAGAAACTGATGGGAAGTGGTGATACCACTCCCAAGGAAACACAAAAACCAGCAATCAGAAAAAATAAGTGAACATAACACATACAGCTATTGGAACTTCCACATTCTTTGGAATATTTAAGAATAACAGAGAAACACTGTCAAGGTTCTTTGGATACAAAGAAATTTGAAACAAAAAAATTACTAAAGTAAATAAGGAATTTATTAGAAAACTGTGGATGGCTCAGAAATCTCAACACTGACCAAGCATGTCTCAGAAAGGACAAGGTCAGAGGTATGTGATGCCAGCATCGAGGTCTCCATGGAATAATTCCATTTTTCTGTTACTCAGTGAAGATTCTCAAAGAATGGAGTTAGACCATCAGAGCTGAAACCAAGGACTTTCCTTCTGGGACAACAGAACAGTGGTATATGACAGAACAGTGATATATGACAGAACAGTGGTATATGACAGAACAGTGATATATGACAGAACAGTGGTATATGACAGAACAGTGGTATATGACAGAACAGTGGCATATGACAGAACAGAGGTATATGACTGACAGAACAGTGGTATATGACAGAACAGTGATATATGACAGAACAGTGGTATATGACTGACAGAACAGTGGTATATGACTGACAGAATAGTGGTATATGACAGAACAGTGGCATATGACTGACAGAACAGTGGTATATGACAGAACAGCGGTATATGACAGAACAGTGGTATATGACAGAACAGTGGTATATGACAGAACAGTGGTATATGACAGAACAGAGGTATATGACTGACAGAACAGTGGCATATGACAGAACAGTGGTATATGACAGAACAGTGGTATATATATGACAGAACAGTGGTATATGACAGAACAGAGGTATATGACTGACAGAACAGTGGTATATGACAGAACAGTGGTATATGACTGACAGAACAGTGGTATACGACAGAACAGCGGTATATGACAGAACAGCGGTATATGAAAGAACAGAGGTATATGACAGAACAGTGGTATATGACAGAACAGTGGTATATGACAGAACAGTGATATATGACAGAACAGCGGTATATGAAAGAACAGTGGTATATGACAGAACAGTGGTATATGACAGAACAGTGGTATATGACAGAACAGCGGTATATGACAGAACAGTAGTATATGACAATGCCAGTAACAGCCATAGAGCCCCTGGGCTGAGGTCTAAGGCATCTCCTGACCTGAGGGACCTCTGTGCCCAGCAATGGCCCAGAGGGACCTCTGTACCTAGGAGAAACAGCAAAAGGACAGAGGCTCTAGCTGGGAAGAATACTCCAGCTGACAGGAATAGAAGACTGTACAGCAGGATGGTTTCCTGACCAGGTCTTCCCAGAGTTGTGGGTTCTGTTCCCCTGTGTTCCTAGAACATGGAGACATCACAGGCTGATAGGTGGTCTTCAGCTTCACTTCTGGGGGTACAAAAAAGGGATAGCAGTGCTGGGGCCAGAGCTGCCCTCCTGGGGCAGGGTCTAATGACCTAGAATTTCTGAACAAAGATGCTGACACTCTATCCTCCCACCAAGGCCATCACATGGCCTTTAAGCTGCCACCCCTGGCTAGGAATGCTCAGGAATCTCCAAGGTCAGGCAAATTCACTGAAACTCAGCAAATTCACTGAAAATTCAGGCAAACTGACTGAAACTCAATATCTGGAGGAAAAGTGAGCAGGTCTCTGCCCCCTCCTGCTGTTCCCTGTCTGACTGCTGGCCTGTCTACGCACCATCAGCTGACCTGATGCCAGCACAACTACAGGAGCTCAGAGTGCTAGGTACTCACCACAGTCCTGCACACCAGACTCTGGGACACATCACCCCCCGGCCAATCCCACCAGCCACAATCCACTAGCTGTCTGGCCCTCTCCCTGCACAGAAATACCCTGGGTTCTTGACTGCTGGCCTGTCTACGCACCATCAGCTGACCTGATGCCAGCACAACTACAGGAGCTCAGAGTGCTAGGTACTCACCACAGTCCTGTACACCAGACTCTGGGACACATCACCCCCCGGCCAATCCCACCAGCCACGATCCACTAGCTGTCTGGCCCTCTCCCTGCACAGAAATACCCTGGGTTCCTCCTGCCCCGTATTGATAATGATAACCTTATAGCCTAAAATCATCAGAAAAGTCTTAATAGTCTCATCCCTCCCTCCAGCCCTTTCCCTTATGCCCAGGGCCTTGAGTCTTCCTGGGCATTGAGCACATATCCCCACATGCAGTGATGCCTCAACAATAAGAAGGTGAGAGGAACAGGCAGCAGGTAAACTGACCATATGCCTGACCTCTCCAAGAAAAGAGACAAGAGACACAGGAGAGGGGCTGAGGTCCCCAGATTACCAGAAATCCTGAAGCCTTGGCAGTCAGAAGACAGAGGCCAAATCAATGTGGGAGACTTCTACATGGAAGACCAGGGTTACCAACCAGAGCCTCAGCCAAGTCCAGGCAACAGCTAACAGAATTAATCCTTCTGGAGGCTGTGTCCTGAAAGGACAGGCACAGCAGCCCATTCCCTACCTGCTATCTCTAGGATGCCATGCCCACAGAGGGTATCACCCTACATCTCCACAAGATGGCTGCTGCCCTGACCTGTGCAACTGAAGGCCT